CCCAGACCATGCAAGGCCTTAAAGGTGAGTACCATCACTTTGAAAGTGATCCGGTGCTCAATTGGTAACCATCAGAGTGGTGTCATCTGCATATCTAAGGTTGTTAATGTTTCTTCCAGCCATTTTCACCCCAGCCTTGCATTCGTCAAGCCCTGCACATTGCATGATGTGTTCTGTATGATGTGTGCACATAATTACTAGGCTTGGGCGGTTTCGTTCATTAATTTCGTAATTCGTTATTAATTTGTATTTAAATTAGCTTACGATCCAATATTGAGCCATGCAGGAATAGTGTGAGGAGTAAATTAGATTCGAAACAATTTTTTCAATTTATTTCGTAATTATTTCGTAATTATTTCGTAATTATTTCATAATTATTTTGGCATGTCTGGTGCAAGTTTTATAGTTGTTGTGTGTTTTATCACACCAACAGTCAACAACAGAGGGAGAGGGAAGCTTCAGAAGTTCCCCCTGTCCCATTTGGAGGTTTTTTTTAGCATATTGCGCAATCGCGGCCGCCATTAACGAATCGATTCGTAATTATACGAAATTTCGTATATTTTGAAATTTTTAAAAGGAAAATTTCGGAATTATTAAAAAAAACGAAACGCAAGGGCCCCCTAAAAACAAAACGAGTTTAGAACCAAAATTTTCCGTGGTTACCCAAGCCTAAAATTACCTGCAACATTTGGCCTCTTAAGGGCATCATGGTGCCAGCACAAAACAATAAGTTGCACCAGTTTGTTACGATGTGGCAGGCTGCTTGCTAAGAATGGCAGTTCAATCCCAGGCCGCACTCCACTGCAAACTCCCGTCATGGCTTCAAGCAACGTCTTCTTGCCTGCAGTAGGAAAAGAAAACATGAAGGCTATCTGTGTTGAGAACGACACAGGTCAATGATCTTGCCAAAGAAAGCACGCAAGGGCCACGAGAGGGCAGCACGGCATTGAATGAAGTTGCAGTTGGCTTTATTTTTCCATCCACTTTTGGCATTAGCTCTTAACTCTGACAGTAGTCAGAATCCTACTGATTCACAATGCTGTTTGCTCCACTTTTCCCGGGGCGCTGTGTCAAAGGAAGGCAGACCAAAACGGTCAGCTCCCAGCTGTAGCCTAGTTCTCCAGTGCTTGATGTCTTTCTTAATGGTCACTATGCAGCCTTTTGCCTCCAGCTGCCAGGGAAAATGGGAGCTTGGCCAATGTTTGTGCAAGGCTCAAAGAGAATTAAGTTAAGTTTGCCAAAGGTGTTGCCAGAGCCATGTTGCTATTTCTAGTCAGGCACTAACGAGCCAAATCTAGCCGATTATTAATGCCCGTCATGGAGAAGGGTCAGGTGCAGAAAGGAGGGAGAAAAATAATAAAATAATTCACTATCTGCTTTGATTATCTGAGTCTTACTTACTTACTTACTTACTTATAGTGCTCTCTGGATGTAGGTGAACTACAACTCTCAGACTCAAGGTCAATGCTCACCAAACCCTTCTAGTGTTTTCTGTTGGTCTTGGGAGTCCTGTGTGCCATGTTTGGTTCAATTCCATCATTGGTAGCGTTCAGAATGCCCTTTGATTGTAGGTGAACTATAAATCCCAATAACTACAACTCCCAAATGACAAAATCAATTTTTTGAGTGAAAGACATACATTGGATTGTTAGGTGTATGCTGTCCAAATTTGGTGTCAATTTGTCCAGTAGTTTTTGAGTTCTGTTAATCCCACAAACGAACATTATATATATATATATATATATATATATATATACACACACACACAAGCCATCCCCTGCCACGTGTTGCTGTGGCCCACTCTGGTGGTCATGGGGGTTCTGTGTGGGAAGTTTGGCCGAATTCTATCATTGGTGGGGTTCAGAATGCTCTTTGATTTATAGGTGAACTATAAATCCCGGCAACTACAACTACAACTCCCAAATGTCAAGGTCTATTTCCTACAAACTCCATCTCTGTTCATATTTGGGCATATGGAATATTCGTGCCAAGTTTGGTCCAGATCCATCGAGAGCAGTACGTGTGAAAAAGATCTTGGAGTCCTCGTGGACAACAAGTTAAACATGAGCCAACAATGTGATATGGCGGCAAAAAAAGCCAATGGGATTTTGGCCTGCATCAAGAGGAGCATAGTGTCTAGATCTAGGGAAGTCATGATCCCCATGCTCTATTCCGCTTTGGTTAGACCACACCTGGAATATTGTGTCCAATTCTGGGCACCACAATTCAAGAGAGATATTGACAAGCTGGAATGTGTCCAGAGGAGGGTGACTAAAATGATCAAGGGTCTGGAGAACAAGCCCTATGAGGAGCGGCTTAAGGAGCTGGGCATGTTTAGCCTGAAGAAGAGAAAGCTGAGAGGAATATGATAGCCATGTATAAATATGTGAGAGGAAGCCACAGGGAGGAGGGAGCAAGCTTGTTTTCTGCTTCCCTTGGAGACTAGGACGCGGAACAATGGCTTCAAACTACAAGAGAGGAGATTCCATCTGAACACGAGGAAGAACTTCCGACTGTGAGAGCCGTTCAGCAGTGGAACTCTCTGCCCCGGAGTGTGGTGGAGGCTCCTTCTTTGGAAGCTTTTAAACAGAGGCTGGATGGCCATCTGTCAGGGGTGATTTGAATGCAACATTCCTGCTTCTTGGCAGAATGGGGCTGGACTGGATGGCCCATGAGGTCTCTTCCAACTCTTTGATTCTATGATTCTATGGTAGAGTCCAAAGTGCTCTCTGGATGTCGGTGAACTACAACTCCAAAACCAAAGGACACTTCCCACCAAACCCTTCCAGTATTTTGTTGGTCATGGGAGAACTGTGTGCCAAGTTTGGTTCAATGCCATCGTTGGTGGGGTTCAGAATGCTCTTTGATTGTAGGTGAACTATAAATCCCAGCAACTAGAACTCCGAAATGACAAAATCATTTTTTTTTTAGTGAAGGACATACATTGGGTTGTTAGGTGTCTGTCCAAATTTGTCAATGCGTCCAGTGGTTTTTGAATTCTGTTAATCCCACAAATGAACATTACATTATATACACACACACATACACAAGCCATCCCCTGCCACGTGTTGCTGTGGCCCACTCTGTTGGTCATGGGGGTTCTGTGTGGGAAGTTTGGCCCAATTCTATCATTGGTGAGGTTCAGAATACTCTTTCATTTATAGGTGAACTATAAATCCCGGCAACTACAACTACAACTCCCAAATGTCAAGGTCTATTTCCTCCAAACTCCATCTCTGTTCATATTTGGGCATATGGAATATTCGTGCCAAGTTTGGTCCAGATCCATCATTGGTAGAGTCCAAAACTAAAGGTCGATGCCCACCAAACCCTTCCAGTATATTCTGTTGGGCATGAGAGTTCTGTGTGCCAAGTTTGGTTCAGTGTTCACATTTGGGCATATTGAATATTCATGCCAAGTTTGGTCCAGCTCCAACGTTCTTTGAGTCCACAGTGCTCTCTGGATGTAGGTGAACTACAACTCCAAAACTCAAGGTCAACACCCACCAAACCCTTCCAGTATTTTTTGGTGGTCATGGGAGTTCTGTCTGCCAACTTTGGTTCAATTCCATCATTGGTGGAGTTCAGAATGCTCTTTGATTGTAGGTGAACTATAAATCCCAGCATCTACAACTCCCAAATGACAAGTCAATTTCCCCCAAACTCCACCAGTGTTCACATTTGGGCATAGAGCATTCTGAACTCCAGAATGCTCTATTCTGGAGTTCAGAATGCTCTATGCCAAGTTTGGTCCAGCTCCAACATTCTTTGAATCCACAGTGCTCTCTGGATGTAGGTGAACTACAACTCCAAAAGTCAATGCCCACCAAATCTTTCCAGTATTTTCTGTTGGGCATGGGAGTTCTGTGTGCCAAGTTTGGTTCAATTCCATCACTGGTGGAGTTCACAATGCTCTTTGATTGTAGGTGAACTATAAATCCCAGCAACTACAGCTCCCAAATGTCAAGGTCTATTTTCCCCAAACTCTGCCAGTGTTCACATTTGGGCATATTGAATATTTGGGCCAAGTTTGGTCAAGCTCCATCATTGTTTGAGTCCACAGTGCTCTCTGGATGTCGGTGAACTACAACTCCAAAACCAAAGGACCCTTCCAGTATTTTCTGTTGGTCATGGGAGAACTGTGTGCCAAGTTTGGTTCAATTCCATCGTTGGTGGGGTTCAGAATGCTCTTTGATTGTAGGTGAACTATAAATCCCAGCAACTACAACTCCCAAATGACAAAATAATTTTTTAAGGATCAAATTGGAGAGGAAGATGTTTTTAAAAAATTGTTAAAAGTTAAAGGGGAAAGATGACGCAAAGCATCCGAACGCCTACCTCTCAGTGGCTTCTGTCTGCTTAGAACTTCCCAACACATCATTCCAAAGCTAGGCACAAATATTAAAAGATAGAATCGTATTAGTTCAGAATATTTGCCTACACAAATGAGCAAAGTAACAAACATAAGAAAACATTATGCAAAAACCACCTCCATTTCTATTATTTGGCTGTATAGCTATTCCAGTTATTCTGAAGACACAAACTTTTCCAAAAGTTTACATGTGTCAAGGATCTTACGCCCCTTCTTCTACACAAGTGTTTCTCAACCTGGGGTCGGGACCCCTCAGGGGGTTGCCAGGGGGTGTCAGAGGGGTCGCCAAACACCTTAAGAAAACACAGTATTTTCTGTTGACCACGGGAAGTTTGGCGCAATTCTATTGTTAGTGGGGTTCAGGATGCTCTTTGGTTGTAGGTGAACTATAAATCCCAGCAACTACAACTCTCAAACGTCAAGGTCTATTTTCCCCAAATTCCACCAGTGTTCACATTTGGGCATATTGAGGAATCGTGCCAAGTTAGGTCCAGATGCATCATTGTTTGAGTTCACATGCTCTCTGGATGTAAGTGAACTACAACTCCCAAACTCAAGGTCAATGCCCACCAAACCCTTCCAGTATTTTCTGTTGGTCATGGGAGTTCTGTGTGCCAAGTTTGGTTCAATTCTATCGTTGGTGGAGTTCAAAATGCTCTCTGATTGTAGGTGAACTATAAATCCCAGCAACTACGGCTCCCAAATGTTGAGGTCTATTTTCCCTAAACATAACAGTGTTCACATTTGGGTATATTGAATATTTGTGCCAAGTTTGATCCAGATCCATCAATGTTGAAGTACACAGTGCTCTCTGGTGAACTACAACTCCCAAACTCAAGGTCAATGCCCACCAAACCCTTCTGGTATTTTCTGTTGGTCATGGGAGTTCTGTGTGCCTAGTTTGGTTCAATTCCATCATTGGTGGAGTTCAAAATGCTCTCTGATTGTAGGTGAACTATAAATCCCAGCAACTACAACTCTCAAATGTCAAGGTCTATTTTCCCCAAACTCCATCAGGGCTCACATTTGGGCATATTGAGTATCAGTGCCAAGTTTAGTCCAGATCCATCACTGTTTGAGTCCAAAGTGCTCTCTGGATGAAGGTGAACTACAACTCCCAAACTCAAGGTCAATGCCCACCAAACCCTTCCAGTATTTTCTGTTGTCTCATGGGAGTTCTGTGTGCCTAGTTTGGTTCAATTCCATCGTTGGTGAAGTTAATAATAATGATAATAATAATAATATAAAACTTTATTTATACCCCGCTACCATCTCCCCAAGGGACTCGATGCGGCTTACATGAGGCCGAACCCACAATACATCAGTAATACAAACAATAACAACAATAATACAAGCAATAATATAAAACTCATAAGAAAAGTATGGCACCGGGATTATGGCGCAGCTGGCTAAGTGTCAGCTGCATTAAGATCACTCTGACCAAAAGGTCATGAGTTCGAAGCCAGCCC